CTCACCACTTTACTCCTTCCTTTCCTTTTAAGCTTTGCTAGTCTTAATACCCATGATAATGGGATTGCTGAGTCCTCGTGGCTCACAGATTACTACAACAACAATTGCAGATACATGTTATGCGATGATCATGACGCGAGAGCGATATTTGCTTGTTTTCGAGTTCTTCTTCTGCTTCTTGTTCGATCAGTGGATAGGTTCCAGGTCAGTAGCCTGGGCTAGCAGGGTGGATGTCGTTTGAGTTTGTATTTCATCCGTAGTCGGATGGTGCTCTTTTGTATTGTGATGTTGTATTCGTGTGGCATTGTATGCCTTATGTATGTATCCCCATCTATTATGTAATGTTGATGTAATGATATCCACCTTGCAAAAGCGTTTCAATATGCGGGTCTATCCTTGGTGGGACGTTCGAGTTCCTTTTGGATAGGGTCGCATATTGGGCGTGACACATTCTCTGTGGCTATGGCACGTCCGGGCAGCCCGTCGGCACGCTCCAGCGGTAAAAGATCTCGTTGCCACCGCACGTTATATCCTGCCCCCGCCAAGGGTATTTTGGTCTTTTTCGCTTCCAGGGGATGCGTGTCGTGCGGCTATGGGGTGGGGGAGGGTGGCGGCCCATCCTTTCGTCCTCTCATTCGTCCGGTTCCCACCTCCTCCTCTCCCTGTCTCGATCTCCTCTGTGAACCCACGCTCGCACGCTCGCCCTCTCGCCTCCGCCTCTGCTCATCCTCGCGCCGCCGCCTCCGCCTCTGCTTGCCCTCGCGCCGCCGCCACCGCCTCTGCCTCTGCTCGCCCTCGCGCCGCCGCCTCCGCCTCTGCTCGCCCTCGCGTTGTCGGGCCGTTTCCTCCTCCACGCCCCCTTGGTGCTCATCAGGAAAAGCGCGGCTCGGCGCCGGCCCTCGTGAGTGAGGTAGGACGCGCGCAGGAGGGAGCGGCGAAGCAAGGTGGGGTCGGTCGAGGTGAGCTGCCTTTCCTCTTCGCGTGTTAGTTTTCCACGTTGTTCTTAGTTGATTTGTGATCTTGTTTGCATGCAGGTCTCTGTCGATCTGCTGTTGTGGTCATCGATTTGCAGGTATATGTGTATGTATGTGCTCTTGTTGGCTGCTAGCTTCTCCTCACCTCTGATTTCCCCTTGTTTTCCTCGCAGATTCGTCGGGTGTTGCCGATGCCTCCTTTGATCTGACCCGGTTGCGTCTTCGTTCATGGATCTGAGGTTAACCCCTCTTCTTCTCCTCCTTTTGTCCTCTCGTATTAGAGTGCTAGGTATACGGCGGCATGGCCAAGTGTTGTGTGTTTGGCCAGCATGGGCCATTTGTTGTTTGTCCTGCATCTGGTAAAGGCCAAAGGTCTTTCCTCTTTGTCTGGTCTGGTAGTGCCTGCAATTGGTGCTTCTCCCTTGGTGGAGTATTTGTGTTTTGTTGCTTTTAGTCTAGCTAGGTTCCAAGGAAGGGGACATTTAGGCTTTTCTTGTTTTGCTGGTACGAGGAGACATGGCCGGAAGCACCAGCGAACCACACCAATAGTATCTCTCGTTAGCTCACAAACATCTTTGTGAAGTACTACCTCCGTAGTATACTCTACTTTCAATCTTGTACTCGTAACCTATTTTGTCCTTCCCTTCTTCACAGTTTGGGAGAGATACAACAGAGAAGACCACCAGAGAAACGGTCGTCCCGGACCCAGACTATCATCGCTATACTTGGTGAGCTCTAGAGGTAGTATATAGAACATCTCTCTTCTCTAGAAATGTACTTCTATGTCAAACTGAAAAAAGATATATGTTGTCTGGTAGGCTGGTAATATGTCCATCCATTAACCACTATTTTTTCGTAATGCAGGGATATCTGGTGTGTCTGCATATGCATAAAATCTTCTTGCCGCTGCACCTGTAGACCTACTGGGGCTGCTTCTCTTGTTTCATGATTTGACGGAGAGCTCATTTCATGTTTTGGATCTCTTGCCAGGTTTGTTTATGTCTTGGATTGGAGCAGCGACGCAAGTAGGGAGAGGTCGTTGCCTAGACTGTTTCTCCTCTCATCATCGTGGCTTGCAGGTCACCACTGTCACAAATGTTACTTTTCATTTACATTCACATGATGTTGTAGTGTTCCAGGCATGAAAACGACAAAATATTGTGGCCGGCTGCCACCGACCGACTCGAGCTCGCTTCAGCCTCCTCCTACGATCCTGCAGCTACTACCTCCCCAAGCAAAGTCAACCTACAGCAACAAGGTGAGCCTCTTACCCTGCAATTTTTATTGTCTTTTTTCTGCACTGAATGCTTGCTCCTTGCTTTTTTACTTTGTAGTGTTTCTTTTCTACTGAACCGTGAAATTGGCGTGTATGATTTCTAGAAGCTATCTCTCTTTTATGCAGTAATTGACTTTGTGTTAGCATTTGGTTTCGAAAAATGTCATTGTACAACCTGACCAATTCTTGGTGCTAATTGTTTCATCCTTTCGTATTTTAAGTTTGCGAATTTAAGGCTCTACCATCATACAAAGGCAAACATTCATGTGGATTTGGATTAAGTGCACCTCCTTTTCATTATTCCAATTAATGAGTGCTCACAGAAAAGGATACGATGCTAAGATTTGCCATAATAGATTCTTGACTTGCCATAAATTCAAATAAGGATTGAATATATTTGTAGTTAAACCATTCTTGCTCAGGTTTCAGATTTCTCAATCCATATTTCTGTGCAAATATCAATTCTTGACAGGTTATTCAGTAATCTCGCACATGTTCGTTTTCACTATATATCATCAGTATTAAAGTTCATACATGATACGTTATATTCTCGGCTTTAGAACATTAAAGTTCGTACATGATACCTTATCATCAGTAGTAAAGTTCATACAGTGTTCTCCTGCTTAGTCTACATCAGATAGGGACTTTAAACATGATCAGTTTAGATAATGACAGGCATCCTCAAGTACATGTAAAACCATGGTATCCTCAAGCCATGGTTGGGGAAGGATAAAATTAGAAAAGGAAAAGAGGGTCCTAACATGTTTAGTACCATCTTATGGGTTGTTTTGAGGTCGCAGATCTGTAGCATACTAACATATGTTCTGCTATCTTTCCTACTTTTCTGTTAATTTGTGCTCTGAATATGATCATGTGACCTGCTTTCTTCAGTTCATTTGCTTCAGATCATGTGGTCTGCTTTCTTTTCTTCTCCATACAAGCTACATGTTACGGTTACATACATGTGGGAGCAGATTAAATCTGTCCATTCAATTGTAGTCATAATTTTCTTAAATGGATTTATTTCAAGGCCTGTTATGTATTGTTCACATCTTCTGCCTTTCAAGTGTGTTGGTAGCACACCTTTTATTATTAACCAACACATGTATTGTTCATGTCTTCTGCATTGTTCATTGAGCACAAAGGTATCACTATTTAGGTAATTTGTATGATGGGTTATAGGACTGTATGACTGCTAACCAATTTATCCTTTTAACAGAACATGGTTTGATGAAAGGAGGGTGATGGATGCGCCATGTGGCAAGTCACCTGGATTGTGTCATGTTGGCAGGGTGATGGATGTGCCATGGGGCAAGTCTGTCTGCTGAATGGTGTGGACGGAAGAGCGACAATAACTATGGGGTTGGTCAAAGGTTGAAAGAAATCTCTTATGTGTCTTCGGTCTCGACACCACGTGTAGGTAGCCGTTATTGATAATACAAACTTTGAAAAGTTTGTTTCAAGGTTCATAACTCTCTGTTTCAAGTGACAAAACAAACTACTCATAGCAGGTTCATGTGATGTGGCGTATAAAAGGTCGAATGTCAAGACGATCAGGTGAATGTATCCAAAAATATTCTTTTGTGGAACTATATATGTTCTTTGTCTCACACTGCTGTTGTGGCTTTCTTTTCTTGTATGAAAAGTACACTATCTATCTAAACTTGATGTGGATTGATCGACCTTGCTCGCTTTTGGCACAAGTATATATTTCCATTTCCTATGAACTTCCAGATGAATTTTTGTACTGACAAAATTCCTCGTGTTTTCTTTGCATTTGAAAAATGTGATTGCCTTGCCTTATGCCATGACTTTGACATCCCATACCAACTAGCAACAGTATCGTGCTTTGTTTAAATGCTGGGACAACACGTTCAGCCAGGCACCATGCGCCAAGGCGCGTTCCCGATCTAATACATACAAAGGCAAGATTCATTTAGCGTGGCACAAGCATGCATGGCAAGCTGCCCACGTACGTGCACATGCACGTGCATGAAAATCTTGGTGCAAGTAACACGTCCTGGCCACATGCACATAGGCTAGATGTAGTAGTCTAGCTTTGTACGTATGTATTCGGATGTCTCGGCCTGCCGGCAAGCTCATGTGCGTACATACCTGAATACCCGCGACTATGCACACTTTTCTTTTCCCTGACGCATGAGAGAAATCCATACTCTTTCTCTTCCCTTCTCCCAGAGAGCACATTAAGATTTTTCTCATCTCAAACAGCATGAAAATACCTGAATTAGGTTTCCACACATACATAGGAGATCAACATCTGCTAAAGATCGAGAGCTAGCTAGCTAGGTAGGCAACTACAGAGAAGAGATCAACATCTGCTAAAGATCTTATAAAGATCAGCATTAGGATTCCACACACACAATAGGATCGCGCCAAACGACGGGGTTCCACAATCACGTACAGTAGAAGATTAGTGGAAGATCACGGAACAGAGCAGTAGTAAAATGGAGTACCAAGCATCCAAATTCATAGGACAGATCAACATAACAGTAACAGTAGTATAAAATGGCGCTGGCTGGCTAGCCGGAGCCGGACCAACTTCCTCCAGCGCCCTCATGTCTTGCTTTGCTTTTATTCAGTCTGCTTCTTTCTTCTCCCGGTAAGATCATGGCTTCCCTTCCCTTCCGCCGCTGGAGATAAAGATAGATATGTCAAGAACTCAAGATTGCGGGTGTGTTTTACCAATAACGAGGCGGAGACGTAGGTACATACCTGGTGCTGCAGCTGCATCAATTCCCGGCCTTTCTCATCACCAGGCTGCAGAAATGAGCTACCAGCGCGAGGATAGCTCCGACGACGATGGTGCAGATGAACACAGTCAGGAAGATGTGATCCTTTACGATCCTCCCTGCAGCGCAGCGCGTCACAAGTTAGAGACGGAATCGCCATGGAATTTACCGGCCGGAGTAATACTCACGAATCTTCTCTCTCAGCGGCGGTGCCGATATCTCGAGACGGAGGTAGCAGTCTGGGCCCAGAACCGCGGCCACGCTTCCTTGCACGCCGTCGGCGGTGAGCCCCCAGCTCGTGGCCATCTGCAGCACCGCATCACTCAGGCACAGGTCGCACCCCGCCGGGGCGCGGTCCGGCGCGCACTGTGCCAGCACGCGCACCTTGTCGCCGTTGCTCGCCGTGGCAGTCGCGTCGGCGGCGGGCACCCGGCCGTTCGCGGATTGCGGGACCAGGGGCAGCGCCACGGCCAAGAAGTGCAGCACGTCGATGTCGTCGATGCCCGGGACGGAGTCGTCGGAGAAGGTGAGGGCACCGATGTCGATGCCGTCGGAGGAAACGTTGGTGTCGGCGTAGCCCAGGAAGCAGCCGTCGTTCAGGAAGCCCGCGTTGCCGCACTGGTCGGCGATCTTCCCGCCGGCGTCGGACAGGCAGTGGAGGCACGGGCCGGGCGCGGGGTCGCCGAAGCAGAGGCCACGGGCGAACGCGCCGCGGGTCCGCATGGAGGCGAAGCCCGTCGGTGCGGCGGCGGAGGGGAGGTCGTCGAGGAGCGAGAGAAGACTGCGGTGGAACGCGCCCCTGCCGTTGGGGTGGGGCGTCGGCGGCGGGTAGCACCTTGTCACGATGACCTTGGAGGTGCCAGTGACCGCCGTCATGGCAACGAGGGAGAGGAGGAGGAGGCGGCGGCGGGAGAGCGCCATGGGAATAGGCAACTCCGGGAAGGTAGTGGTGGACACTCGGAGGAGGAGGAGGAGCCGAGGAGAGTCTCGCGGCGCTAGAACGAACTAGTGTAGCGCGAGCTCGCGTCTGGTAGTTAATGTATGTCAGGCAGCTCGCATCGGATGCTTTCCCGCGGCATAGATTTGGAAAGGGCGATTGGCTACGCATTTCCTGCATGGCCATTCCAAGCAAGAAGACAACACCGCCCCTCATCAAGCTGCACCCGCACTGATTGTATCTGAGCTAGTAAGAACGGGCTCTGCTAAGTGGAAAGAAGCACCGGCAGCGCTGCATGGTTTTGCCTCATCCGCACTACAGGAAAATTCCGTTTTCCCGTGTGTTAGGCTATAAGCCGAGAGCTATATTTCGGGTACTCGGCTTATATGCATCTAAGCCGTGTCTAGGCAAAAAAGCACCCGGCAAATGCAAAGGACTCGGCTTATAGCCATCTATAAGCCGAGTGTAGAAAAAAAGCCCTCGGCTTACAGTGAGCACACGGTATCTACAGGAAAAAGCACTCGGCTTCTAGCTGGCACTCAGCAAAGACATCTGCCACGTGTCTACAACGGAGGTAGCTGACGGCGCCGTCACAGAGCATCCTATAAGCCGTGTGCCGCGGGATAGCACTCGGCTTATACAGTATGTAAGCCGTGTGCCCTGAGATAACACTCGGCTTATACAGTACATAAGCCGTGTGCCGTATGATAGCACTCGGCTTATATGTTGGCAACCCATGAAATTTATGGAAAATTGGTTTAAAATAATTTTCATTGCATTTATCTTAACTATTTATTGTTATTTCTTTCTCACCTAATTTCTCCCGACTAGTTTTATGGGTCTTATTTTTTAAACTCCCAATTTAACGCCGCTTTATGATCACATGCAAAAGTAACTAGTGTACTCTTCTGACCCCCTAGGTTACCCATATTATGATCACATTCAAAAGTCACTACTGAAAATTCACTCTACACCCAGTGCTTGGCTCTTTGCTGGGAGCCAAAACACGGTCGGGCACTTGGCAACCCGAAGTAGGTGGCTGGGCCTGCCTCACCCTCGTCCGCACAAGGCCTACGCATGTCGCAAAGAGATCACATAGGATTTCTCATGCCGCTTCTGGGCATGATTTCATCTGTCACCTTGCAGATCTGCAATTTCTGACGCAGAAACCATAACAGTGCAATAAATGTCTCAAATATTACAGGCGGGTCCGAAAAATGCGGGGGCCTGGCACGTGTCATTCGAAGGCCTCATTTGAGAGCATAAGAACTTCTAGGCCAACAGAGCAACATGACCCGCACTGCCTTCACAAACCCGACACGTTCCTTCTCGGTACACAGAGACTACCTCGGAGCTGGTGGTAGTTCACAAGTGGCCTCAGATGAGGCGTATTCAAGACGTGTCTAAACTTCTACCACACCCTAAAGGGCCCATGTGATGACACCATGCCAGCTCCCGAGGATTTCCGGCATCGTACGATTTTTCGACACTTTAAATGGTTGGATCAGGCATGTCGCGGACATAATACCGCCCCGGGTGTAAGGGTGTACCCCTCCCTCGTCCGCATAAGGCATACGCATGTCGCAAAGACATCACATAGTATTTTCCATGCCGCTTCTGGGCAAGCTTTCATATGGCGCCTTGCAGATCTGCAATTTCCAGAAAATATTACATGCGGGTCCAGAAAATGCGGGGGCCTGGCACGTGTCATTCGAAGGCCTCGTTTGAAAGCACGAGAAGTTTTGAGGCCAACAGAGCAACAGGACCGACACTTCCTTCACAAACCCGACACAGTCCTTCTTGGTACCAAGAGACTACCTCGGAGGTGGTGTAGTTTACAAGTGGCCTCAGATGTGGCATAATCAAAACGTGCCCAAAGTTCTACCACACCCTATAGGGGCCATGTGATGACACCGTGCCAGCTTCCGAGGATTTCTGGCATTGTATGGTTTTCCAAGGATTTAAACAGTTGGATCAGGCAAGCCGCCGAGGTAATTTCACCCCCCGATGTACGGGCATGCCCTTCTCTCGTCCGCATAAGGCCTACGCTTGTCGCAAAGACATCACATATGATTTCCCATGACACTTCTGGGCATGATTTCATGTGGCGCCTTACAGATCTGCAATTTTTGGAGGTGAAACCCTAGTAGTGTAATAAATGTATCAAATATTGCAGGCGGGTCCGAAAAATGCGGGGGCTTGGCACATGTCTTTTCATGGCCTCCTTTGAGAGCACGAGAAGTTTCGAAGCCAACGAAGCAACAGGACCTGCACTTTCTTCACAAACTAGACACGTTCCCTCTCGGTCCCCAGGGACTACCTCGAAGATGGTGTAGTTTACAAGCATCCTCAGGTGAGGCATATTCGAAACGCGCCCAAACTTTTACCACACCCTACAGGGGCCATGTGATGACGCCATGCTAGCTCCTGAGGATTTCCGGCATCTTACGATTTTACGAGGATTTAAACCGTTAGATCAGGCATGCCGTCGAGGTAACTTCGCCCACCCGGTGGCTGGGCCTGCCCCTCCCTCGCCCGCACAAGGCATACACATGTCGCAAAGACATCACATAGGATTTTCCATGCCGCAACATCGTACGAAATAATCAATGTTGGGGATATCGCGACATCGTATGAAATAATCAATTATTTATTAAAAAATGAAATAAAATACAATAAGAAGAAAATAAAATATGTATAGTAAAGATACAATAAAATAAAGTATAGAAATTATTAGAAGTAAAAATAATAAACTTTTTCTATTGAAATAAAATAAAAATATTAAAAAAAATTGTAAACCGTGTGTTTTTATAAGACACTCGGCTTACCAGGCTATTGTAGGCTTAGTAGTGAGCGCGGGACTTGCGAAAATAGACGCGCGAGAGAGGCCATTTTGGCCCAGATCCACCGCGGAGCGCCTTCAGCCCCCACTTCTCCCGAGCGCCGCCCCTGTTTCTCCCCGCGCGCTGCCGCCCTGTTTCTCCCCCCACCTCCGGCGCCACCCCTCACCTCCGGCGCCGCCCCCCTTTTCTCCCCCCCGCCGCCCCTCTCCTCGCGCCGACATCTCCTCGCGCCGCCGCCCATCCTCCACCCACCGGCTGCCTCG